CATGTAGCATCTCCTTTTGACCTTTCCCAAAATTTTTAAGTTGGTGGTGGCTTGTTAATTTCGTGTTCCTTACCAAAATCTCCTGTTGTAGAGTAACTCATGCAAATGGTTACTATGGTGCCTGGCCAGGGTAGATGCTTTCAGTCAGTGTTTCTCCTAACATTATGACACCTGCTACATCATGGAGGAATCTTGAATCTTCACTTTATGCTAAGTGAAATAAGTCAGACACAAAAGACATATACTGTTTGATTCCACTTGCATGAGGCACTAGAGTAGTCAAATCCATACAGACAGTGGAATGCAAGTTCCACGAGGGGAACTGTGGAGAGGAACAGAGAACAGAGCTGATAGTTGAGGAACCCTGGGAAAACTAGGAACTTGGCACCACCAGGTGGGCTGCAAATAGGGAATTTTGGTGAAAGTCTGTATAAGGAGCAGTTAAGTTTTTCTTTTGTTAATTATTTATTTATTGAAAGGCTATTTCTCACCCCAGATAGTCATAGTTTCATAGTTCAGGAACACAGGAAAGTGACAAATTTCCATGGAACTCAACCCAAAGAAACTTTATATTCCAAATCACTTAGCACTCTGAAAGATACCAGCCTTCCTCATCTCCTCAAAATCTTTCATGGAATCATAATTTCTGTAGAAATCTGCATAGGCCTTCTTTCTTCGTTCTGCCACAGCAAACTTATAGAAAGTTGCAAACCCCAGGGAGACCATGAATGCTCCAACAATATGAAATCGCAGACGTTTGGCCAGGAGGCCACGCAGCTGAGGTTTTGCCAAAGCAGTGGACATGATAGTTTTTCTGCTCGACGGCTCAACCGTGACGTCCTGCAGTTAAGATTTTTCATCTCTGTATTTCCAGTCCCACAGGTGAAAGATTTGTTGAAGAGACTGAACCTGAGAGACCCCTCTACTTTCAGTTGGATGCCAAGGGCTTTCAGAATCCGCAGTGGGGATTAACTGAAAGTCTGCTTATTAAAAAAGAGGATCACTAATTCCCTTCCTACTCCCAAAATGATAGCATCAATGTGTTTATTCTAGGCAGGAGATCTCAGAATTTTTCTATGGTGAAACTAAATGACCTGAGGAATGTAGGGGATGGTGATCCACAGATACAGACATTTGGAAGCCCTACCCAAGAACACAGAGCTTCCAATGGCCTTTATCCTACGGAGTTAATTGGTGAACACTCTCAACACAAGAATCCCAAACCAAAAGAAACGGCAGTAGAAAGAACTTTGATTGAAAAATAGACACTTCTTGGAGAAGAAGAATACTTCAGTTCAGTTCCGTTCAGTCGTGTCCGATTCTTTGCAAACCCATGAACCGCAGCAATTCAGGCCTCCCTGTCCATCNAGGGGTGGTGGGGGTGGGGGGGGCGAGACAAAGGAACAGTAAGAGAAAAAAGATAATTTCCCCAATGAGCAAATGAAAGAGAACAAAGTATCAAAGAAATAATAAAATTTGGTACTCCCCTGGTGGTCCAGCAGTTAAGACTCCAGGCTCACAATGCAGGAGGCCCAGGTCAGGGAACTGGATCCCACATGATGCAACTACTGTATCCTACAATGAAGATTGAAGATCAGACCTGGCACAGCCAAATATATAAACAAATAAAAAGAAATATTAAAAAATAATAATAAAATTTAAGATTAAATCTCTAGATTGAAAGGAATCACCAAGCACATCATTGAAAAACTTCAGAACATCAGGAGCAAAGATTCTAAGATTTTATAGAGAGAAAGAGTTCACATATAGAAATAAGAATGCCATCAAATCTACCAAGAGACGCTAGAAGACAGTGACTAGCAAACTTCTGAAAAAAAATTCTCGACAATAATTTTATTCTCAAACTATCTCTCAAGTGTTTAGGTAAAATAAAAATATTTCCAGACACAACAGGACTTTTTGCCTCCCACATATTCTTTCTCAGGAAGCTCCTGGGGGTTATTTTTGACCATACAAAGAAGGAAACTAAGAAAAGGAAAACATTACCCAGGAGACAAAGAATCCAACCTAGAGGAGAAGGATTAGGAATTTCCAAGGCACCCCAAGCTGGATGGCAGGTCTAAACAGCCTGAAACAGAAGGATGCAGACTGTCAGAACTTCCTTGAAAAATTAATTTGGTAGGTTTGACCAAGCGTGTAATTGCACCCTGAGTCTATTGAAGTTCAAATTGTCAACAGGCACAAAGAAAAATACACAAGTGAGAAAACTTTTCAGAAAAGTTTTCAAGAAAGAAAATGTTATCACAGTATATATAACTGACTAATAGTCAATAGTATTTACACAATCATAATAAAATGTGAACACGATTTAATACAAAATTTTTATTTAATTAATTTTAGCAAAGAGGAAATAAAAGGGTATGAGAAAGCAAACACTTAGCTGCCAGGACTGAAATTTATAACTTATCATGCTCTCTTACAGTGGTTTCTTCATGGAGAAGAAGAAAGTATGGTCATGATACATTCACTTTTATACCCAAACACCCCTCCAATTCTGGGCTAATACCTCATGTTGTCAGACTTAGTGAGATAAGACCATCTTCTCTCCTTCATTGGAGAAGGAAATGACAACCCACTCCAGTGTTCTTGCCTGGGAGAAACCCATGGACAGAGGAGCCTGGCGGGCTACAGTCCATGGGGTCGAAAGGAGTTGGACACGACTGAGCAATTAACACATACTTCTGCCATTCATGGAGGAAAATGACAAACGTGTCAGACCATGACTCAGCCAATCAAATGCTTCCACTTGGCATTTTCAAACTTGAGGAGCTGTCCTGGAGATCCACAGCACAGTGATTAATGTCTAGGGTTGGTGGCACCAGCAGCAGACACTTCTTTTTTTTTTTTTTGCATCAATACTTTATTTTTTTTTTTGTTTTGCTTTTTTTGTGTGTGTGTGCAATAAAGTTTTATTAAAGTATAAAGGAGATAGAGAAAGCTTCTGATATAGACATCAGAAGGGGGTAGAAAGAGTACCCCCAGACACTTCTAAGTACAGGACTGAGCTGGATTTCTAAATTGTACCTAGAAAAAGTGGGTAGGTCTTTTTATTTTTTATTTTATTGGAGTATAGTTAATTTACAATGTTGTGTTAATTTCTTCTGTACGGCAAAGTGAATCAGTTATACATTCTTTTCCCATATAGATTATTACATAGTACTGAATAAGTTCCCTGTGTGGTGGGTCTTTTTAAAAGCTATCTCTTTCTTGAGCAATAAAGTGCTCTTGCTCTAAATGGCTATGTGCAAATGTGTGAACTTCCATTAGACTGAAAGTGAATCCATTTACCATAGACTGGGACTCAAACCCAGTCAAAACCCTGCTTGGGACTTGAACCCAGACAAAATCCACGGTATCTGGTTTCAGGGCCTAATAAAGCTCAGGTTCTTGATGTCTCATCACAGAAAGAATTCAATGAGAGACAAAGTGATAGGTCAGAAATGGATTTATTCAGATTCAGAGAGAAGCACACTCCACAGACAGAGTGTTGGCCATCGCAGAAGGCAAGTGTGGCCATGAAATGTGGCGTAGTTTGTTTTTATAGGCTGGGTAATTTTCATATGCTAATGAGTGGGAGGAGTATTCCAACTATTCTGGGGAAGGGTCCAGGATTTGGGCCACTGCCCATATTTGGTCTTTTAACAGTGTTTTGGAACTGTCATGGCACCTCTGGGTGTGTCATTTGACTTCTGATTGAGGATCAAGGACTAGACTCGTCTGCCATCTTGGTCCCAAGATTTGATTCTAATCAGTTTATGTTGTGTCCTTAGGCTATGTCATTCTCTCAAAAGTTATGTCCTTCTTCCTGTTAGAAAAGTTTAGGAAAGCTGTTTGTAAAAGTTGTTATAGAAGCCCTGTTTCCCTCCTGTTACAAAAGTTCCCTGAGGATAGCTGCCCTCTTTCATCCTTTAATTCACCACAGCCTTGTGTGCAGTAAGCCCTCAACTATATATGTTATACCAACATCTTTATCTTTATTCTGTCACACATCATATCCATAAATTGTAATCACAGCTCTCAGATCTAAGAATTTCCTCAGGGACTTTGTCTTAATTGAAGACCAGTGGAATCCTCCAGGGATTTATCCTCAGTGGTTATTTGGAATATGGGAGTAACTAGTAAGCTGGACAAGGATCCCTTGGGAGTTCTTGTCTTCCTCCTCCAGTCATCCTGGGGCTGGGAGTGAAGTATTTAATGAACATAAAATGGTAAAGAAGGAAGGGGGCACCCGGATTTGAACCGGGGACCTCTTGATCTGCAGTCAAATGCTCTACCCCTGAGCTATACCCCCACAGCCTATTGGAAGTTATTTTCCTTGTCCACTTATGGTGACTCAATACAAACCGTTTCCACCCACTGTAGAATTCCTGCAAGCTTTGTATTCTAAAGCTCCACCCCTTTTGTATCTGTAATCTGTTTTGGCTTTTTTCTTGGCCACCAATAAAAGGGGTGGGGGCACTTGAAAACTGACATGCTGGAAATTAGCTGAAAAGGAAACTGATATAGCATTAGTAGAGAAAGCTTTCATAAACACCAGATTACTGTGTCATGATCCTCAGTTCCAGATATCACCCTGTTCATCCCCTGCCTCGTGATGAGTTGAAGGTGGGAAGGAGGAGGAAGACATCAGTTCTTTTGGATGGGGTGATCCAGAAAAATGAGGAACTTCTCAGGACAACCAACAATCCCTGTGGCCACGTTGCGTGCTTTGTTCTTGATGGAAACAGTAGGTAGCTTCTGACCTGGGCCCTCCTGATGCCTGGGGAAGAGTTTCTGAGGGCTTAAGTAGTGTGCTTCCTCCTTATACAGGGGAGACCAGAGACTTCTCCTTTCAAGTCTGGCACTCTATTTACATGGAATTTAAGGGCACAGCCTGAGACACCCTTTCCCCTCCCACCTCTTCCACAGGGTAGAGAAGCTGAGGGTGGAGAAACTAGCTTCCCCCACCCTCCCCCATCCTCAGGGATGAAACAGCACACTGAGGCACTTACATAAAAGTTTTAATATAAAATAACACTGGGAGTTCATATACACATCTTAGAAATTCAGGTGGAGGAGCACGAAGAGAAGCGCTGCTGTTAAAAGAGAGGGAACCGGGTGATCTCTCCAAAGACAGAGGGGCAGTAGCGAAGGGCTGGGGTGTTCCGGCGATAGCCAAACCGACCATTGAACCCCTGGGTTGCTTTCAGATTGGTATTATAGTGGTCATGCCCGGTCACTTGCTGGAGAGAATGCCCTTGGGGGACAGAGAGAGAGGCCTGAGCCGGTATTCAGCCCCTTCTTGTTTTCCCTACTCCCACTGGGCTGGTATAGGAGGCTCACTCAATTATAGTCACTGTGCTCCCATGTCCCTGCTGAACCCCGAGTCCTGAAGAGCCAAGGGTGGATGAGGTGGAGGAGACAGATAGCATCCTGGAAACCCATCCTCATACTAGGGGCAGCATGCAGAGGGAGCGTGAATGATATGTGCTGGGACAAGAAGGGCCAGAAACTTCTGGGCTTGGCTGAACTTGCCTTGTATCCTGGAGAACTGAGACGATTTCACCCTTGTATCTGACCCATCTGGAGAAAACAGATGAGCTCAATCTGGCCAATGGTGTGAGGGATCATGTGACTAGGTGGGGTAGGAGGAGGTCTCACCCTGCCAGAAAAACAGCTCCCTTTTCCTACTGCTGCTAAATTGGGCCTGGAGAGTGAGCAGGACACAATCTGCTCTGGGAGCAATGAGAACACAGGCTTTCCTTGAAAACAGTGTAATTTCACTCTCAGCTCAGCCCTTCTTAGTGATGGTGGTGGTTTAGTTGCTAAGTCATGGCTGACCCTTGTGATCCCATAGACTATAGCCTGCCAGGCTCCTCTGTCCATGGGATTTCCCAGGCAAAATTACTAGAGTGGGTGGCCATTTCCTCCTCCAGGGGATCTTCCCAATGCAGGGATTGAACCCATGTGTCCTGTATTGGCAGGCAGATTCTTTACCACTGAGCCACCAGGGAATTCCAACCCTTCTTAACAAATCATTTTACCTCTCTAAAACTCAATTTCCCTGGCTGTAACTTGATATTCTGAGGATAAAAAGCACCTGACAAGTGGGTGCTCAATAACTAACTATTAGGGAGCACTATAACACCATCTGCTCAGGCATAAGAAGAAAACTGGAGGATGCAGTCAGTCGGTAGGTCTCTTTCCCTTCCAGGTCTCTTTAGGACCCAGTTTCTCTCACTGGGGAAGGCACACCACTCTTCCCAGGTGAGATCATGATGAGATTGGAAAGGGAGGTGGCACTTGCCTGCCCCTGCCCAGTTTCTCCTGTTGAGGTATCTCTGTCCTTGCCCAAAGATGTGGAAATAATCCACTATCCAGCCATCCCTTCCTGTGCCTCCGTGATCCTGAGAGTGAGAGAAAATGCAGAAGACTGTCAGCTGTGATGCCGAAAAAAGCCCAGTCCAAGCCCTGCCTCCTGGCTTGTTGGGGGAGGGAGAGGTCACAGCCCAGGGGTAAGAGGGCCAGACAGATTAAATATACTTAGTGACCTATTGCCTTTCAGCGAGATGCATTGTAGTTTGGTACAAGCTCAGTGTCTAATGCCAGAGAAAGTGAAAGTGTTAGTCCCTCATTCCTATCCAACTCTTCAGGACCCCATAGCCTGTAGCCTGCCAGGCTCCTCTATCCATGAAATTCTCCAGGCAAGAATACTGGAGGGCCGTAGCCATTCCCTTCTCCAGGGGTCTTCCCAACCCAGGGATTGAACCCAGGTCTCCCACATCACAGGCAGATTCTTAACCGTCTAAACTATCAGGGAATGCGGAGTGATTGGCCTCCAACTAATGAAAATAAATGAAAAAAAAATTAATTCAAAATAAACTGTCAGGGAAGACTGGTTCTATTTCCACTTCTGCCCCTAACAAGACCTTCGGTCAAAGACACAGCTTTTTTGGAGCTCAGTTTCCTCAACAGTACTTTGAGGTTGAAGTGAGACATAAACGGGCCTCAAATAAAGGGTCTGGCAAATTTCAGTAAACACGATCTTCATTTAAATGAAAATAGTACCTACCGCAAACGGTGGTTGTGACTATTAAAGAAAACTTACAAAATGGAACATAGAAAGTTTCAAAAGTGTGTACATAATATTATTTTTCGAACTTTTAAGTTCTGGAGTTTTCCCCCAGATTCTGTTTCCTTCTGTTATAAATATTACATGAGTAGCCAGCGAACACACCCAAACATGACACCGATGTGGGTCCGTATGCCTGTGCTGAACACACATGCGCACACGCAATCACCTGGGACCACTGAAACCCCAAGATGTGTTTACAGAATAACCCGCATTCAGTCCTCTTCTCCCCATATCACTGACATGTATTAATAGTGACAAATACTGGAAGCAAAAGTGTTGAAAAAAATTGGAGCGGTCAGCCTGTAATAGTCTCAGAATCTTTGATCCCCGTAAGGGGGATGTGCAACTGAGTAGAAGCAAGGGCTGGGTAAGTTGGGAGGTTTCCTTCCAGTCTGTTCAAAGAAGGTCATATGACATCACCGAACCGAGGGCACCTCGCCTAGTGGGCCTCGGCAATTCTTTGTCTTGTTCTCTGAGGGTCGGGCTTTGAGAATTTGCCGCGGGAGATCACCCCAAGGGTGAATCTGTGACGCCAAAAAGGACAAAGAACCCAATTTCTTTGGCAGAGGCTTGCAGAGATTTGAAATGAGATCATTCTCAAATTCAGGCATGGAAGGTGAGCTCAGTAAGTTCACGCTCAACACCTGTCGCCTGCCTCCAGCAATTCTGGAGTTTCATCCAGAAAGCTGAGAGTGCAAATCGGGCAGCCTCCGTGGTGGTGAGGGCGCTAGCATCAGACGCCCGGATCTGGGAAGCCAGCCGGCCACCTGGGCCAAGCTCTGCGGGCGCAGATAGCCGGGTTCTACGCGGGGCTCGGGTACCTGCTCAGTCTTCTGCAGGACGGGCGGAACCACGGGGCTCCGGAAGTACCGTCGGGAGTGTTGGTCCTGCTGCGCGTTGTAGGGCGGAATCGCGGACCAGAGCTTGGGCCTCAGGTGCTCGTAGGAGCGGGCCACGGTGCTCACGGCCACCCCATCCAGAATGAAGCCCTTCTCTCGCCGCAGAGGACACGCGCAAAGGTGAGCCATCCAGACCACCGCAGCCTCCGAGGGCGTTTCTGGCAGAAAGCGGTGTCCTAGGTGGAGGCTCCCCGGCACATTGTGACGTGGAATTAAACATCACGTAGGCGTCACAGTAGGTGACACAAACCCTATTGTCCCCATCCTACGGGGTAGCCTCGCAGGGATGTGGGGGTAGTTGCTTGAATGGTCCCGACGTAAGGGATGTCTAGGAGGTAACTATGCAAGAGGAGTCAGAGATTGAAGAGAAGGGGGATGACCGAGTGTGGTTGTGAGCGCAGTCGTCCCAACTCTCCGTTCTCCTTTTAAGAGCAAGGTTCTCTGCTCCCACGTTGTTATATACTATTTCCCAAACCCAGTTCCTTTGAAAACCCTGAAACCTGAATGATCAGTTCAGACAGCATCTACTTCCAACTCGCATTTTACAGAACTCTTAAGTTGAAGCTAGGAAATGTTGGAGTATTTCCTAATTCATTTAGTGACAGATCCAGAACCAGAACTTACCTCCTGGCTTCCAGTATATCCATTTAAATCATTTCTTCCCTCCCTACCCAATTCATCAGCTAATATACCTCCTCCTGATAAATGTAAAAACCCAACAAAACAGTAAGTTGACACATATTACCATACTTTTCTCCTCTGGTTAATTTTGTGTATATAATAGGATACAGCAAAACATGAACAATCATTTTCTCTAATTATTGTTAAAGCAGTTTTTCTTTCTAGTTTACTTCTCCAATTTCCCTTTATATAGATGCTTTACAAAGGGCCTTATACAAATTTCTCTGCTCCTCATACAAACAGGTGCTATTATTTCACAAATGAGGTAACAAATTCAGGAATTCTTTCATGTTACTAGTTTACTGTGGTGGTTATTTCGTTGCTATGTCTGACTGTTGTAACCCCATAGACTGTATCTTGCCAGGTTCCTCTGTGCATGGGATTCTCCAGGCAAGAATACTGGAGTGGGTTGCCATTTCCTTCTCCAGGGGATCTTCCCAACCCAGGGTGGAACGTGGGTTTCCTGCATTGCAGGCAGATTTTTACCCAGTGAGCTATGAGGGAAGCGTTTATTGTACAAAAGCACAAGTATTAATTAGAAAAAGGTTGCATCATACCTGCTTCCCTGGTAGCTGAGTTGGTAAAGAATCAGCCTGCAGTGAAGGAAACCAGGGCTCAATCCCTGGGTCAGGAAGATCCCTTGGAGAAGGAAATGGCAACCCACTCTAGTATTCTTACCTGGAGAATCCCATGGACAGATCCTGGCAGGATACTTCCCAACTAAACCACCACATACTTGTACATAATCACTGGTCCTGATGTATCAACTTGGCATGTTTAATCTTTTTACACTATGATAGGCAAGTCTTATGTTAATAAATCAAATTTGAAATTATACTAAGTCTATAGTTTGCGACACTGTCATGTCTTGACTCTTTGCAACCCCATGGACTGTAGCTCGCCAAGCTCCTCTGTCCGTGGAATTTTCCAGGCAAGAATATTGGAGTGGGTTGCCATTTCCTCCTCCAAGGGAATCTTCCCCACCCAGGTATCAATCAGATCTCCTGTACTGGCAGGCAGTTTCCTGGAGTACCTGGGGGCTTCATGTGACATTAAAGACCTGAAATTCAAGAGTCTGGAGGATGGGGTAGGGGAGAGTCAGATCTATCGTACAACTTTACTAGATACATGAACACAAATCCTCTTCCAAAATCTTTACGCCAGACTTCTGATCCAAAGCAGCTGAGAGGTCATTTCCCAAGCCCTGAATGTCACCTAAATCAACTCTCATGGCTTGGGCGAGGTAAAAGGGTATTAGCCTGCTGTGTTAACATTCTATCATCTTTTATTCTCAAACTAGGGTTTGGAAGATGTATGCCATCGAAATAGTTTTGATAGCAAATAAAGGACTTGTAGATATTAACAACTTAGTCAAATTTCATGAGAACAGCTACCATGTGTTAGGTTTTACAAATATAAATGCATTCATGCACCAACTTACCCAAAGAAAACCTGTAACTGCAAAGTGCACATTATATACCTGTGTACCTTGTCCCTGTTCACATCATTCCTTGAAGTCCATGAGTGTACAGGATCTGACCATACATTCTACCTTATCTCAAATACCTAATTGTAGGGCAGTCACCTGGGGTAACCTGTATAGATCATCTGTAATTTAAGAACTAAAAAACTTAGGTAAGGATTAAGTGGTATCAAGAGTAACATGTAGAAACAAACAGCAGGGCAAGCATTGGGAGCAAATAATTTTTATTTTTTACAAATACACCAAAGAATCATGCAATGCTGCCAGCATTGGATGCAATCCTGGGCCACAAGTCTGCACATTCCTTTGCAACTGGTCCTGTGATGGCAGAACCTGCATAAAAGAATGAAGCGACACATAAGCTTAAAGGGTCCTTTCCTTGTGCACTTTTTGAGTTGAATCATCAAGTCTCAAAAGCTGAACAAAGATGTGGATTCTTTCTTACCTTTCATCTCGCCTTTATTGTTTACTATGACCCCTGCATTATCTTCAAAATAAAGAAACACACCATCTTTTCTCCGGTATGACTTTCGTTGTCGAATTACCACCGCTGGATGTACTGAGAGGGGGGAAAAACAAAAAGCTGTCATTAAACCTGTCAAGTACCAATGTCACCATGAGAAAGTGGTTTACACCTTGTCTACCTTCCCAACATTCCCCATTTGGACAGAATGCATCCTCATTAGCTTTTTCATTTCCTAAAATCAAGTGTGAGAGATTAATAAATATCCATCACCCCTTAAGGAAAGACCTTACTTCTAAGTTCAAACTGCAAGCATTTCCTTACCAGCATGAATCTGTACTCTGGGAGTACAGATCAGCAACATACCAACAGGAAACTTGTTAAGCACTTTCTATATATTTCCCTACTTCACCAAAGAGGTAGGTACTGTTAAGATCCCAATGTCATAGAATAGGGAAACGGACTTTCCTCATACTGGAGAGGCTCATTACACAATAAATATTCCATCCTCATTTCTATCAAGACCTCCAAGTACAAACTTTGATATAAAATTAGCACTTTATGCCATTCTAACTGCAAGGTACATGTTTTACTAGGCAAACTTGGAGTTAACCTAAATATCTCATGGCACATGCACAGAACACAATCACTTTAAAATTATACATTTCTGTAACTTTTTATATCCAAGACAATCATCTGTGAAGCAAGAATGAGTTATGGGAAGGAAATGGTCTTACACTGGGAAATAGGATATACTAAAAAATACTAAAAATGATCATCTCTTGGTGGCCTAAGAGTCAGGTAACAGAAATTCAACTTGTATTTCTTATTTAATTAACTCTAGGTTTAACTTTTTGAGAAAGTGCTTTCCAGGGTCATAAGTAACTTTTTAAAACCTACCTGCTCTAAAGTGAATACTTTTCCCGATATTCAAAGCATCGACTGCACTTGATAGAACTAGAGTCAGACAGACCTGAATTCAAATCTTGACTGACAGTAGTTTGGAGACCTTGAACAGGTTATGCAATCTTATGACATTTAAGCTTTCCTCTTGCAAACTAGGGATAATAGTTAAAATTTCTATATTTAAGATGTGGTGGTTTAGTCGCTAAGTTGTGTCCAACCTGTGCGACCCCGCCTTTAGTCGAACAGATTCCTCTGTCCATAGGACTTTCCAGGTAAAGAATACAGGAGTGGGTTGCCATTTCCTTCTCCAGGGAATCTTCCTGACCCAGATATCAAACTGGGGTCTCCTGCCCTGCAGGCAGATTCTTTACCGAGCTACCAGGGAAGCCCTATATTTTAAGACGAGACTGGAAATACAAAATTTTTTTAGGACAGGGATCCTGGCTATCCTTGAAGCAAGTACTGTGTTCATAGACAGTCTTTTGAGTTTTTAACACACTGAGTGACAGGTAATGCTGACCAAGATTCTCCTCCATTGGACCCTCATGTATTTAATAATTCTCACAAATGAATCTAACAAATAAATAAGGTCATATGAATTCAGGATTCTGGATTTCCAGTCCTGTCCTTTCCCACATTTCTGCATGTTATAATGTGCAGTCTAAAACCCATCTGTAACTTTTAGTTGACCCTCTATCTACTGATTCAACCAACCTCAGGTTGTCTGGTACAGTAATATATATTTAGTGGGAAAAAAATTCTGTGTTTAAGTGCACCCGTGCAGTTCAAACCCATGCTGTTCAAAGGCTAACAGTTATCATTTAGAAGAAACAAGGCCCAAAGAATAAAGTAACAGAGTCGGAAAGTCAGACCTAGTTTTAAAACAAAAAGTATTCTCTGGTCTGTCCCACAACTGACTGAGACAGACAGCATGCCCTGCTGCCATCTCACCCACAGTGATGGACAGCTGCTCTGCCCGTCCCTGACAGCTTCCCAGGCCACAGATCAGACCCAGCAAACGTTCTAGGAGGACAGCCTGTCCAGTTGCATGCTGACCCTGATCAACACACTGCTTTATCAGTGCTTAAGTGCAACAGTTATTCCTTGCTTACCAAGTCCCCAAGTGCATACTGGAGGTCAACAGAGCTGGAAAGTCAAGTGCATTGAATATCAGAAGCTGTAAAGCCAGACAATTCAGCACTGTCTCAGCCCCAACCCCTAATTCATACATGTAGTGGGAAAACTTTTGGGGGTGGTCCACAATTAGGCAATGAGCAGCCTCTGGTTTCAGTTTCTATCAGAAGAGATTTAGAAGTAACCATACTCAACTTTTGTTCAGTCACAACCCTGAGTTAATCTCATCTATGTGTGACTACTCCCTTTCAAATTGGTTCACGAAAAGAAACTTGCCTGGGGTGATTCAGGTCTTAAGGCTGCCCTCTCACCTGTAGCTGGCCTGTAGCCAAGGAATCAGCAACCAACTAAAGACAATTATCTGCTCTCACAGAAGACACAACCCTAAATGTCACATACAAAAATCACCACCTGGATTCAAGGTTATTTGGGAAAGGGGAGAGAAGGGGGTAAGGAGCAGAAGACGACTAGAATTAGAATACTCCAGATAGGGGACACAGCAAGAATCTGAGGCACAAAGGAAAGAATATAAGTTGGAACAAAAAACCAAGAACTAAAAGGAGACAGCTTGGGAAAGAATCATGTGGATGGACTGTAAATCCCAGTAGGACAGGGCTCTTGCTTCTACTTAAGGTGTAGGTATGTGAGACAAGACAAGTCTGTTAACTACTGTTAGCTAGATCAAGCTTTTAAGAGGCTCTGAGAATGGCAAAATTACTGTTCCATTTTTCCAATAATGAGAGAAATCTCTCAACTGTCCACAGACCAAAAGGAGAATCCCATCTCTCTACTCACCCTTCTTTCTGAGCTCTGGTTTGCCTTTCTTGACTGTAGCCATCACCATGTCACCCACACCAGCAGCAGGAAGTCTATTCAATCGTCCCTTGATCCCCTTCACAGAGATGATATACAGATTTTTGGCTCCTATAAAACAATGTAAACAAAAATGGAGACTAGTTTTGAGGGCCAATCAGGCAGTGCTGCGATTTTCCAACATCACCTCCTCCAGTCACACTCCTAAGCACTTAGTCCCCACTAGGTGGAACACCTTGTCACACCACCGATTGAAGCAAAACAACACAACATGCTGCCGCTTCACCCAAAAGCGGTGTTTTCACTCTGCCCTTTCTTGACGGCTCAGCGGGTCATCAGCAAAAGGCCCACTGAGTGCTTTTAAAAGGGTGAGTATGGCAGGGAGCAGCCAAAGGTCTCACCTGTGTTGTCAGCACAGTTGATCACGGCTCCAACCGGAAGACCCAAGGAAATCCGGAATTTCGCACCAGAGGACCCACCACGTCCTGTAAGTAGGAAGGGAAACAGGAGAGGTCACTGCTCAGACATGGTTCGGAGTCCCTTTCATACGCTTAAAGTAGAAGTTCACTCGCGTATGCTTTGGGAAACGGCACATTGAATCCACACATACCCTGCCCCATGTGCCACCCAGTTCTCAAGGCCAATAGCCAAGTCCTCACTACCACCACATTAGACTGAAATTAACTGGCCTGAAGACTCAATTCTCGATTCAACTTTTGTACCACGCAGTTCTTCCTGAAGGGTGGGAGACTGCACAAGCCGCCCACACTGGGGCTTAAGTCAGTCCAACTCCAATCCCTTACCGCAGCGGTGACGCGGAGTGAATCCGCAGGGTTCGATCTAGAGTCACGACTGGATCCTGCCAACTCAACCCTCCGGCCGGCCCCGTCACTTTCAGGGGCTCTCCCGGTGCTCTCCCGATGAGCCCTCCAAGCCCTCTCGGGCGTCGAGCAAAGCAAATCGCCCCAGCTGCCCATGGCCGCTGCTACCGGCAAGGCCAGCAGCCACAGCGCAACAGATGGCGAAGGATCTTCCAAAGTCAAAACCTCACCTCGCTTCGACATCTTGAAGGCCGGAAAGGGACAAAAAGGAAGTAAAGACAAAGGACCCTGGGATATGAACTCCCAGGCCCCGCCCAATCTGGGCACGTGACCCGGAGTTTGCCCAATCCGCCTCTTTTCCTAGGGCGCTGTCTTATTACGTCATAAACGCGGGACGTCGCCTAGAGCTTGCGTTACAAAGTGAACGGTGTGAGGGTTGAGGGCTCCAGAATGAATGATCCCAGGAGTACACTTAATAGGAGCTCGGAAGTAGTTGGGACACAGAAACATTGGTTTAATTGATCGGACAACCTCTTCTGAACACTATGTGCCAGGGACTTAGATGGACACTAGAGATTCAGAAATGCTTAAATGGCCTCCAGAGAACGCACGGGCGTTGAGGGCAAGGGTTAGAGATCTGGAAATGGTTTCATTAGGATGTGATACAACTGAGAGATGCCATTGTAGCGCTACAGATAATTCCATATTGTGTGTGCTTGGTCCCAAACCCACTTGTATTTTCTATATCTTGCTATGTTCATTATTCTTTTCACTGCCTCAGGCTTTCCCATTCTTCAGGCTTCTCTCTGTCGATGCATTAATTCAAATATTAAAAGACTACTGATTCCAGATTCTGTCCTGGGCATAGACTAGACTACGTCAGAACAAAACAGATCATTCTTGCCCTTAAGAAAGTTACATCCAGTCAGGGTGGTGATGAGGGTGGGTATTAGATACTGAACCACAGATGTAATAATGGCAGCATATAGTATGTTAGATGGGGATAAGTACTTTGAAAACAAAAGTAGAAAAAAGAGGGATCTGAAAGTGGGAAGAGGAGCAAATTGCAGTTGAAAATAGAATGGTCAGTGTGGGCTTTATGGAAGAAGTTGACATTAGGGCTAAGATTTTGAGATGAGAGAGTTAACAATTTGATTGTCTAAGAAGAGCAGTCCAGAGTCATCAACCAATGAAAGACTCTAAAGTGGGATTGTGCCTGAACAATGTGAGGACCAGCAAGGAAGCCAGGAATGACTGGACAGAATAAGTGAAGGGAAAAGCAATAGAATGAAGGTCATAAGTAATGGAACTGGATCATGGAGGGCTCTGTACATCACTATGGACTTTGACATTTACAGACTGAATTGGGAATCATTAAGTCATAAGCAGAGGAGAGACATGATCTGACTAATATGTCAGAAGGATCACTCTAATTGGGACTACACTGTGGGAGGGAACACAAAGATACAAGTAAGTAAGAAGACCTATTTGGGAAGCTCTTGCAGTAACTCAAAAGAGAAATGGTGGTGGTTTGGACCAGAGTGGTAGCAGCAGAAGTACTGTGATGTGATCAGATAATGGATATGTTTGGAGATAGAGCCAACAAAATGTGGGATAAAGAGTAAGAGAAGAAAATGTTTCCAAAGCTTTAGGTCTGAGCAAGTTGCCATCAACTGAGATGGGGAAAGCTGTGAGAGGAACAGCTTTGGGGGTAAGAATGGCAGTTCAGTTTTGGAGATGTTGAGTTAGATGTGAAAAAGAGATTTCAGTAGCAGGTTAGATGTATTAGCCTGGAGTTCCAGAAAGAGGGAGATAGAAATTTGGGAGTTGTCAGCATATAAGTAAAGCCACGATAGTGGATGAGTTAAAAAAAGAAGAAAAGGTAAATAAAAGAGACCATGGGCTAACCTCTGGAGCACTTCAACTTTAAGAGGTCTCTAAATCTATATATTTATAAATCATCCTTCTCACTCTTAAATACTTCACTTGCTCCTGCCAGTTTCTCTAGCTACCAGTTTCTCTCTCTCCACTTAGCTGAATTTCATGTGTTTCTGAATATATGATTTCATTATCATTTTTGCCTCTCTTGATAAATGGAACTACCATTCATCTAGGTGTGCCTCTGAGATTCCTGCCCAAGTTCTTTTCAGTCTGCCTTCTCAGTGTCTCTCAAGTCTGTCCACTTCTCTCTATTTCCTCTACTAACACTCTGGTCCAAACCACCTCCAACTCTTGCCTAAACTACTTCTGAAGCTCTGTAATAGGTCTCTTGGCCTCTATTCTCCCTCATCCATCCACTCAGTCTTCATAAAATGGCCAGAAATAATTTTTCAGAAATGTAACTATTACTATGTTACTCTCCTGAAAATCCTCCAATGGTTTCTGTACTCTTAGAATCAAACTTAAAATCCATATCATGGCCTACTGGGCCCTGATGTAGCATTGTCCTACTTCTTAACCTCTCTTGCTCTGCGGAGTTGGCCTTTTTGTCCCAGATACCATATATGCCCCTGAATAGCCATTGGCCTCACACATGCTTGGCATACTCTACCCTGTCTACCCTCATCGTGTATTTTTACATGATGTAAAGTGTTACATTTTCACATCTATTGATTGTTACAGATCTCAGCTTAAATATCTTTTTCTTAGAGAAATTTTACTCTGACTTCTCTTAAGAAGTATTTTTCCATCATACTATTTATTTCAGTTCTTAAATATGTATTTCATGACTTTGCTGAATGACTTCTCACCCCCAACAGTCAGTCTATATGTTCAGTAAAAGCTGAGTTCTTTGTTGTTGTTGTTGTTCAACAGTATATCCTCAGCATTCAGCATAGGGCCTGGCTCAATAAATACGTGGCAAATGATTGCTGAACAAATGAAGTCTACCTGAATGGTGTCCATATGTCAGCATCCTGGCATGAAGGAAATTTTCATTCTTCTATGGCAAAATTAGAAATATTTGGAAAATACTGTGTTTCTCATAAAGCTACATTTGCTCAATCTAAAGGATTATCTTCCTTCATCTTTTTTGTTGTTAAAAATGTTCCTTTAAATCCTATGTCAACTTTTCACCATCTCAACACTGCCATCTCTGGGGTAGTTTCACTGGTCCTTGAAAATCAGAGCTGTGAAATGATCTGTCTCTACTTCTTTACTTCCTGGGTGCACACATTCCTTGGACCCCTGTAATCTAGTTTATTTCCTCACTATATGACTGAAATTATACTTGAAATTATGTATACTGATAAATTATACTAGAAAGTTCACCGTGACCTGCTCTTTCCACAATCCAAGGACACTCAGTCTTTATCTTACTTGACCTCACATTGTTGCACACTGGCACCAGTCCCATCTTCTTAACACTCTTCACCTACGGTTTCCAAGATGCTAGTAATAATAGAAGTTACTATTTATGGAGTGTTCTTAAATACTAATCATTGAATTAAGCATTTTATAGAAATGTGACTTCTTGAATCCTCCCCACAACCCTGTGACTTAGGTAGTATTAATCTCATTTTACAAATAAGGAAACTAGGAAATAGAAAGGTTAAGTGCCTTTGTCCAAGATCAAACAAATCATGAAAAGCAGACGTAGAATGGTATCCTGAGTTTGACTGATTCCAAAGTACAGGCTCTAAGCCACTATGTTATATTGCTCTCTCCTTACTCACTGTCCCTTCTCAGTATATTTCTCTGAGTGATCACACCACCCAGTACCTTCCGTTACTATCAATAAGCTAATAACTCCCAATTCTGTATCTCAGCCTAAGACATTTCTGCTTAGTTCTAGCTATTATATGGAAACAGTGATAGGGACACCTCCACAGGCACTTCAGACTGAAACATCCAAAACCAAAATCAATTTTTCCAGAAATTCTGCTTTTCTGCCTGTATTAGTAGTCTTGGTTGGTTACTTAGAGCATTGGTTCTCAGATGTTTTCATCTGAATATCCTTTACATTCTTAAATTATTGAGGACTCCAAAATGGTTTTGTTTGTATAGTTGTATCTATTTACTGACAGTCACCAGACTTAGAAATTTAAATTGTGAAATATTTAAGATGATCTCTTACCTGCTAAAATCAGTTAAGTTCAGTCGTTCAGTCATGTCTGACTCTTTGTGACCCCATGGACTGCAGCATGCCAGGCTTCCCTGTCTATCACCAACTCCCGGAGCCTACTCAAACTCATGTTCATTGCGTCCGTGATACCATCCAACTATCTCATCCTCTGTCATCCCCTTCTCCTCCTTCAATTTTTCCCAGGATCAGGGTCTTTTCCAGTGAGTCAGGTAGCCAAAATATTTGTAGCTTCAGCTTCAGCATCAGTCCTTCCAATGAATATTCAGGACTGATTTCCTTTAGGACTGCCTGGTTGGATCTCCTTGCAGTCCAAGGGACTCTCAAGAGTCTTCTCCAACACCACAGTTCAAAAGCATCATTTCTTCCGTGCTCAGTTTTCACTATAGTCCAACTCTTATACATGACTACTGGAAAACTACGGCTTTGTCTAGACAGAACTTTGTTGGAAAAGTAATGTCTCTGCTTTCGAATATGCTGTCTAGATTTGTCATAGCTTTTCTTCCAAGGAGCAAGCATCTTTTAATTTCATGGCTGCAGTCACCATCTGCAGTGATTTTGGAGCCCAAGAAAATAAAGTCNATAGCTTTTCTTCCAAGGAGCAAGCATCTTTTAATTTCATGGCTGCAGTCACCATCTGCAGTGATTTTGGAGCCCAAGAAAATAAAGTCTGTCACTGTTTCCATTGTTTCCCCATCTATTTGCCATGAAGCATTTGCCATCGGATGCCACGCTTTTCATTTTTTGAATGTTGAGAAAATACATATTCTTAAAAAGAATTGTACTTAAATTTTAAAAATAATAAGAGTGGCTTGGTTTTACATTCTTTTAGGAATTTCTTTGATATTTGGCTAAATGAAAGACATCTGGATTTTCATGTTTTCACATTTAGTCTGTTGTGACATCATGTAGCCTCTGGAAAGCTGTATGCATGAGTGGACAAGAATGAAACAGGTAAGGAAGTGAGAAGTAAATTCTTTTTCCCTATGTGGAAACGGTCTCACAGGCAGACATGGAAGGACTCAACTCCCAAACACAGATTGGAACCCATAGGGTGGACCGGAAATTCCTTTGTTTGGGTGTTGAGCTTTTTAGAATGTGAAATCCACAGGTGCCTGTAGTTGGCCAATTTCTGTATTCCCAGAAAACACTGACAAATGACTAAACATTTGCTACCTATCATGTTGGGGTGGATAAGGGTTAAAAGTGAGAACACAAGGGGGCACCCGGATTTGAACCGGGGACCTCTTGATCTGCAGTCAAATGCTCTACCCCTGAGCTATACCCCCTCTGCTGGTGAAAAGGAGATTACAGTTTATTTGTAGTGTTTATAGGAGCAGACGTTGCCTTGGTGATTAATAATAGTTTGATATGTATGACCAATTCTTTCAGGTTTCCCAGGTTGATGCTTAAGAAAAGGCAATCCAGACCCAAACGGACCCAAATAGTAGGAGGGAAGGAAGAAAGGACGAAGTCCAGTCCAGCCAGGCAGACTGTGGGGTGTGCGATGGGATTTCCCTCCTCCAACAATTACAAGCTCTTATACTTCTGACATCTGAGAATTCTTTAAGTCTGATTTCCATCCTCCCTGCCTGCATCCCGAGTTGTACTAAATCCCCAGCCTATGCTTTGCACACGAAAGGAAGTGCTTCCCTTGTCTTTCCCAAGGTATCTCCAGCATCTTGTGTCTCTTCCATTCGCTTTGCTCCTTCAGACATCAATAGGTTTCCCCTAGGTTGGAAAATCCTCCCTTTAGCTATGATCACCTGTCCAGCTTTTCTTTTTCACTACCAAATATTAAGAAAGTCTTTGACTTCATTTCTCTCATTATCACCAAGCTTTCCTCACAGTTCTGTTACTGTCTACACTTACTTTCTCGACTGTCAGGAATTTTTCCCCCTTGGTGTCTTGTTTCCCCAACAGACTAAGTTCCTGGAAGGTAGGATCACGTTGCTCTCCGTTTTGTATTCCTCACAGTAGTTGGCAGAGTGCCTCATTCACTATAAACCTTGGTGGTACCTATCAGTCAAACCATGTTTTAAACTCAGACTCATTCAACTCAACTATGGCATTACACCAAGCTTGCACCCAAGCAGTAGAATGAATGTTGTTAGAGGAGTGCTCAGAAGTCTGAGCCACTTCACCAACCTGAAACAGGCTCCATGTCTATTACTCCTCCACCACTGACTGCCTAGATTCACTTTCTCACTCTCTAAAATGATTATTTCACACACGTTCTCCATTCTCAAACCTTCTACATCTTATCTTTCCTCCTCAGAGAATGCTGACCTCTTCTTTTTTGGAGAACATCAGAACCAGTCAGAAGCAGGGTTGGGCTGATAAAAGGCTAATAACTGGCTCCCCAGGACCTGATTTGTAGGATTTGCCAATTCTCATAGTGTAAATACGTCCATCTGCTAATTTCAAGTGAAATCAACTGGCTTTAAAAATTCTGGAAAATTTAACAATTGGCTCTCACAAGCCAGTGTGAGTCGAATCTAGCACACTTGGGGGATTGATTTTTCACCAGCTACCAGCTACATACTGACAACTCTTCAAATCACATTTCCAATCTAGACATGTTTCTGAACTTCAGAAATAACTGGATCTCCAGCTGCATACTTAAAATCTCCTCTTAAATGTCTGTCGGGCACATCAGACAGCATATTGACCTTATACTAGAATATGAAGTCTATGAGGTAGGGGGCTGTACTTTATTACCTTTGTTTCAGAGTGTTAAAAAGAAACTCTTGAAGATTTTTTTTTTTGTAAATTTACTCCTTTCTCAGTGTTCTTTATCTCAGGAAATCACATGCACCCAGATAGTGAAGTCAAAAAAGAAGAGTCATTCTTTTTTAAAAAAAGTTTTTATTAAAAAAATTTTTTTTATTAAATTCCATGGACAGAGAAGCCTGGTCGCCTACAGTCGGGTCGCAGAGACACCACTAAGTGACTAACATGCACAAAATGCATAGTTAATTTACAATGTTGTGTTAGTTTCAGGTATACAGCAAAGTGATTCAGATATATATATATATATATATATTTTATAGTTTTCCATTATGGTTTATTACAGGATACTGAATATAGTTCCCTGCGCTATACAGTAGGGCTTTATTCTTTATTCATTCTATATATAATAGTCTGCATCTGCTAATCCCAAGCTCACAAGCCATCCCTCCCCAGCCTCTTGGCAACCACAAGTCTCTTCTCTATGTCTGTAAGTCTGTTTCTGTTTCCTGGATACATTCACTTGTGTCATATTTTAGACTCCATAAATAAGTAATATTATATGGTATTTGTCTTTCTCTTTCTAACCTTTCTTAGTATGATAATCTCTAGGTTCAGCCACAGTGTTGCAAATGGCATTGTTTCATTCTTTCTTATGACTGCTTAGTATTCTATTGTATATATGTATCACATCTTCTTTATCCAGTCAGTGGACATTTAGGTTGTTCCCATGTCTTGGCTATTATGAATAGTGCTGCTATGAACATAGGGGCACATGTATTGTTTAGAATTATAGTTTCATCCCTAGGACCAATGCAGCAGCCAATTCCTTTAACTGGAATGCCCACTCCCAACAGATGGGCAAATGACTGTCTCTTTCATGTCATCCACATCTTAACTCCAAAATCACCTGTGAAGAAAGCTTTTCCCTGACTATGCATCTTGAAATATCCGCTCGTACCCCCCTAATACATATCTTGTCTTTTATTTTAGTCATTTTCCTTATTCGTTTATTCATTTGTGCACTTGTTTCTATTCTGTCTCCATTTGATTTTAAAGTCAGTGAGAATGAGAACCTTTGTATCTATTGAAAGTATGCTCTGCACTCACAATGGGGCACATAATAGTTGTTTCCTAAAAATAGAGAGTGACCACTAGAGAACATAGCCAGGGAAAGTCTCTCAGTGGACACGTCTGTTCAGCTGGTGCTTGCATTCTTTTTAGAGACCAGGAGAAAGGATTCCTTACTCAGTTTTGCAAGAAGCTCTTCTCTGACTTCTTAGGGTGAAGAGATGGGTGGGATCATGGATAAAGAATTGAACTTAGAAAAGACAAAAGTTCACATATTTTCAAAATTCCATGTTTTTACTAGGTCTTTTAATGTTGTTCCTTGTTATTACTATTCAATATCTTGTAACAAGAGGAAACTGATTTTGGAAAAAGAATTTTCAGAAAAAAGAAAAAGGCTGGAATGGATGTAAAAAGAATTTACCAGAACATTACCAGCAGAGGGGGTATAGCTCAGTGGTAGAGCATTTGACTGCAGATCAAGAGGTCCCCGGTTCAAATCCGGGTGCCCCCTTCCCTGGTTTTCCATTTTTCACAGCCGCAGGCTAACACAAAAGTCTGTGTTCAGAATCCAAAACTCTCTGGAGATTCTCAGAAAGTACTCTTAACCCTGAGAAGTAGAGAGAGACACAGTAGAAGTCACACAGGAATGACTGCACCACTTTCCCAGTGAGCTCTCTAACTCAGTGGCAAGAAGCCCACCCACCTGTACTCTCAGAAGGTAGAAAAAAGGCTGAGATCTTTCCAGTTTGAGATCCTTCAAGACTTACTGGTTTGATGTTAATCATAGTTTCTTTGGAGGGGAAGAAATGGAATGCCTGGGCGGGGCAATATTATTTTGCCTAGTTCATAATAGCGGCGAAGTCACAGCACAGATTTAAGATGAAAAGTGGACGGCTTTCTTCTTCTTTATATTAGCTCAAAGGCAGGGTTTTGGCCTGATAAACCTGCAGGTGGAGTTTGAGGCCTGGTGTCCAGGAACGGGGTGAAAAATTAGCTCTTTCTCGCCTCTGGGCTTTGAACGGCACAGCAGCTCTGCTTAATCGCCATGTCCAGCTTCACGACTTGTCTTTCAGTAATGCATGCTCAGTCACTCAGTCATGTCCCACTGTTTGCCACCCCAAGGATTGCTCCTCAGCCCAGGGGATTTCCCAGGCAAGAATACTGGGGTGGATTGCCACTTCCTTCTCCAGACAGTAACGGGAGTCCTGGGGAAAAAAATATTCGAGTAGTATTCCCCTGGGGCCCTGAGGGATGACACAACCAAATTCCAAGTTTAAAATACCACAAATTCCCCCTGACTCAAGAAGCAAGCCTCTCCCACTATCCTTTCTTTTTCCTTTTTTTGGGCAAAACCTAGTCGAGAGGGTCGATCTTGCTGCCTGATCTTTTTCCTTGGACCCAACAGTGATAACCGCCAGTCACACAGTGGACAGTATCTGTCCTCATCTTTAGGTTATGAAACTTAATGGTCTTGTATTGTTTGCTCAGTGGTTCTCAAAGTGTGATCCAGCAGCATCAACACCCCCTGGGAATTTGTTAAGAATGCAAATTCTCGAGGTTCCCCTCCAGGCCAAGAGTATCAGAAGCTGGTAGTTGGGGGGTGGTGGTGGTAGTGTTTTGAGGAGCTCTCTATTTAATTATGACACACTCAAGTTTGAGAACCACTACATTAGTTTATATCAGGATGTAACTTTATTTTTGTAAATTAAAATGAGCTTTTGGGTCGGTATTGACCATTTCCACATTTTCAAATTGCTTTCACTGTGCTGGTGTTATGAGCAATAAGGAAAGGTGCTTAGGGCACGCGCTTGTCACCGGTAATAAAGAAAGTTGAAGCTGGAGAAAATCTGTGTCTGTGGGTTTTCTTCTCTTGACCCATCCCTACCCAAAATGAAGCACCAAGGTGGGGGAGTCTTGCCTCCTGAACCAGCGCCTGGAACCGCCTTACACGACCGAGGCTGCCGCCGGTGACCGCAGAACGCCGGTATCTCCGGCGTGGGTCGTGGGGACCTGAAGTTTCTGTACCTGATTTGTGCCTGTACCCACCCCCTTCTGCTGCTGAGTACGAAGTAAAACCGAAAGCCTTCCGTTACGGTTGGAGAATGAGGAAGGAATTTTAAAACAGCTTTTCTCTATTTTCTCTAACCTAGGACCTGAGGTTAAAATATGGATCAAGAAGGAAGTAATTATACTAGACAAAAATTAGGAAGAAATCTCCAAGGGGGTACCCGGATTTGAACCAGGGACCTCTTGATCTGCAGTCAAATGCTCTACCACTGAGCTATACCCCCACGCCGCGCCTTGGCTTGGATGCGGCTCTTTTGGGTGTTGACACTGATACACTAAATGGGAACAGTAAAGGTAAGTGAGGAGAAAGAAACGCAAGAGGAAAAGGGATCAAGCGCAAAGCAGAAGGTCGATGGATTCGGGGAACTACGGGAAAGTTGCACGGCAGAGGCGCGGGGACGGAAGAACTAACCCGGTCTGCGAGGGACTGAGTCCTGGAGGGAGGGACGGGTTCCGCCCTACAAACTGTGGGAGAGGATGTTGCAGGGCATGGCTAACATCCTAGGGGCGGGGCAGGGGGGTTCCCGTTGATCCGCAGATTTCTCGCCAGGTACCGACGGGTGCAAAGAAGTCCCCAAACCTGGCGACTCCGGTTGGGTGTTCGAGTGGGTTCGAACCCCAGCCAGGACAGTTGCGAAGGGCTCGCCCGCCCTGCAGCCCAGGTGCCTAGATGTGCAACCGGATCGCCCCCGCCCGGCCTCCGGCGGCGGAAGGGCCCTGGGCAAGGTCGCCTGTCCGCGCCTGGCCTCCGGGCGCATTCCAGGGCCCTTTCTGCTCGCGAGCTCACCTAGGCGCGTACCGCTGGGCCCGCAGTCCTCCCTGGAACCCGCCCCCGCGCAGTCTCACGTCGCCGGGAGAGCGCGCCTCGCCGCGCGCGCCCCTGCCCGCGCCCGCGGCGCGTCCCCGCCCCGGCACAGCCCCTCCTCCCCGCTGTGTTTATTAGGGGAAGGAGGGCGGGGGCGGAGGCCAGTTCCCTAGCTCTAGCCGCCGTCGCTGTAGCCTGTGCAGTTAAAGCCGCGGCCGTCTCCCGCCAGCTCGCTCGGGGGAAAGAGAACGCGCGCGAGCTCGGGCGTCCTCGCCCCAGCCTTTCCCGGAGCCATGAATCCTAACTGCGCTCGGTGCTGCAAGATCGTGTACCCCACGGAGAAGGTGAACTGTCTGGATAAGGTGAGACTCGGGACTGGAAGACGGGTCTTTGCAATCCCCGAGCTCTAGATCGGAGGAGGAGAGCGGGGCTGGGTCTCTGCCGCCCCGTTACCGCGATCCCGGGAGGAGGGAAGGTGGGTGGTGTCATGGGGTGTGAGGGACGGACCCCAGTCTGGAAACCAGGAGATCCTGGGAGAGGAAACGAGTCCACGCTTGGCGGGCAGCCTCTACTGGAGAGGAGTGGGCTCGGTGCCCCGGGGTGGGGAAGCCGGGCCTCGGAGTGGGGGTGGGGGGAATGAGGGAAGGTTAGGGGTGCAGTCCCGCCCCCTAGGGCCGGGAGAGTGAGAGCAGACGGCCGCTCCCTCTCCCCGCCTCGCCGAGCGCCAAGTAGGCGGAAGCGCTGGGCGCTGGGGGAGGGGGCGGCGGGGGGGCGGCGCAGAGGTTGGGGGCCCCTGCTAAGCAGTCCGCTCCGGCGGCTACTGGCCCGGCTTCCTGGCCTGGAGACTGGAGGGTGGGGGCCGTCAGCGGGCAAGTGTTGCCTCTGGTGAACTGGCCTTCGGATAAGGACCCGAGCCCCATCGCGAGAGCCCGTTTTTTGGACGACCTGCAGCCCTCTTGGTGGTTCAGCGGTTAATGGACTAGCCGGCGTTCTCCATAGCTTCCCAGCCCCCACCTCAAATTAGAAGCCCACTCTCAGCGTTGGTCCGCCCAGCGGGACCCGGGCGGGGTCGCTTGCTGGAGTAGGGTGGGTGGGGGCTGCCTCACTGAGATCTCCTGAAATTGTGTTCAGAGGCTGAGTCCACCCTGAAGAACAAAGAGCTAACTTTTCAGAGCAGGTTTCCCCAATGGAGGGTGGGGTTGGCTGAGTTCAGGGGGAGCCAAGAAAAGGGGGGACGTGTTGGGGGGAAGGGAAGGTGGCCTTCTGGAAATTCACTGTCCTCTGGGGGCCCTTAGGCGGCTTCCTCCCCACCCCCCCCCAACCCCCGTCATGCTGGACTCGTTCATCTGGTTGCCATTATACTTTTTGAAGGGGGGCGGAGAGTGGAACTGGGTATTTCCTGCAGTTTGGGGTAGGATCCGGACCTCTTTTAATCTCGCTAAGGTCCTAAGGCAATCCACCTCCCCTCTCATCCCCTCCTTGGTCTGGAGGAGAGGCCTCTAGAATTCTGTCCCCTTCTTCATCGTGCCTTTCATTCACCTCCTAAAGCTGGCCCCCTGTCCACATATTCCCTCCTTCCCGTCTGGACTGGCCAGGGGTTAGGGGCATGGGATGGAAGAGGGTGCAGGGCCCACCTGGAGTCAGGTATTTTTTGTGGGGGGGGAAAGGGTCGCTCCTTGGATTCTTTTGTCTTTCCCCTCCTCCTTACGGTTGGCGCTTCCTCAGTAACCTTTGGCCTCTGAGTCAGGGTGAGGGGGTGGGGTTCCATGGTTCTGAGATCATTTTGATACTGCTCTTGGAGGAAGGGATCATGTGGGGCTGGTGCTGTTTCAGTCTTCTCTCCTGGGCCTGGCTGGGCAGGAGAAGAGAAAGGCCATGTTATGGTGCAATGAGTGTGGGTGCTGACCTTCCCAAAGACCATGCGGGAGGGCAGGACTTGAGCCTGGGGGCAGGAGCTGAGAGCCCTCTGGCCTTGCACACTGGTGTTTCTGCTCTTCCCTGGTGGGAGGGATTTTGGCCTCTGCATCTTGAGTTCCTTGTGCTCCCCTTCTGCACAGTCATGAATTGGGAAGAGGCAACGGCCACTTTCCACCCACATAAGGCAGAAGCAGTGTCTGATGGAAGGACTGCTAGCCTGGGCGTTGGAAGACTTGGTCCTAGTTCCAGGTCTGCTCACCACCAGCTCTATGAATGGCTCTAGGCCTCAGTGTTCACAGCCTGTCAGATGGGTATGATGATGTCATTTCCATGAAGGTGGGGAGGTGCACTCAAGTGCCTGTCACAGCGCCCGGAAGGGGATGTGGTATAGGCTGTGCGCCCTCTCCTTTTCTGGGGTACTCTGTCCAGCCCCATACCTGGCTTTCCCTGTAAAGACCTTTGGTGTCCGAGGGGAGGGTGCAGACCTTTTAAGGTGCCCTCCCCAGCTGTTTTCTTTCCCTCTCAGGAAGAGGACATTCAGGTGGAGGGCGCCCTGGGAAGTGAGAGTTGGCGGTTCCTCTCTCTTCTTAAATCTCTGCCTATAGGAGGTTTCCCTGGGGAGATGTCACACCCCTGCCCTGGAATATCCAGGTATCAGACTGGTTCCTCCCAATGCCCTCCAGGCAGTAAGGGCAGGCACTAGGAATGGGGGTCTGATGCCTGAGGAGGGACGTTCAGTCCCATAGACACAGTTGCTAACCAGCTTCCCAAGACAACCCATTTACAACAGGAGAGAGTCAAATTAGACTCACCTGTTTCACTGCAAGTTCCTAGGACCCGCCATGACCCAGAGCACAAGCTGCGTCCTTGGTGTCAGCCTTTCCTCCTCTCTGAGCCTTATCTCCTAAAGGCTTAGGTGAGTAAAGGCTGCATCACCTCTGATGGCCACCCTCCCGTCAACCTGCATTACCCAGCGTGTCCTCCTGCTGAATAAATGTGTATGGCTGGCCACGGTGTTTGAGGTTGAGATTTGTTTCCCCAACTTATGGGATTAGAGTTGGGGAAGAAGCAGGGTGTTGTTGCTTGCTCATTCATTCAGTGAATATTAAGCACCTACTTGGTGCGGGGCCCTCTCAGGCTCCTGCAGGGCCTCTGCAGAGGGAGAGAGGCTGTGTCTCAGAGTGTCTTCTACCTTTTGACAGACTTGGAGTTTGGCCCTAGATCACATTGGGAGGCATTAACATGGGGACTCGTCGAGTCCCCCTGGCCTGGCTTGCTTTTGCCAAGCACCTGAATACAGATGGAGGCGTTGAGGAGGGTAGAGGATTGGTGGGCTGAGTCCCCTGGACTCCCCCATTGGGAGGGCTCCCTGCCTCTGGTTGTCTGAAGTACCCTCCTCTCTCCCCGTCACCCCCCAGGTGGCAGCAAGGTAGAAGGAAATGGGCCTGGACACAGATGAGGGGAAAGGCCTGTAGCCCTGGTGCTTCGTTTCCTAGCCAAGAGCACCCCACAGTCATCCCATGCATAGACTCCTTGGAATGTGCCAGGCTGTCTTCCCGGGAGCCTCGCAGAGCAGATGCGATGGCTCCTGTAAGTTATGACCCCCGTAAGCAGAGGCCCAGGCAGGTCATGCGGTTCACTCCCCGCAGCCCGAGCTGGAATTCAGCTCTAAAGTTCTTGGTGCTCAGCTCTTCTGCCTGTTGTGTTTGCAAAAAAGTACTTTACTTTACACCATCTCCCTAATGTTTGTAGTGGGCCCTCCCCTTCCTGACCCTGGCCTGTGGAATGCTCGGGGCCTGAGCTCTTGAACCAGGAATAGTACTCCCTGGGAATCTGGGGAGGTGCGGCCGTGGTCTCTGCCTTTAAGCCAGCCTCCCAGGTAGCCAGCTGAGTTAGTGACCGGGCCGGGGTGGGGCTGGAGGAGTGAGAAACTGTAACCCTGGGTGACAGGAAGGGAGGGAGAGGTCTCATACTCTAGCCCTGAGTCATAGGGCGCCCGGGTGGTGAGGGTGGAGTGGGCAAGATCCCAGGCAGCAGGCACAGCGACCTGAAGTTCACCGCACCCCCCACCCCCAGAGCTGTGAGCAGTTGCTCCCCCCACCTCTACCGTGACTCCAGAGAGAGAAGGCTGACCCCAGCCTTGTCCAAGTGCAGGGGATCTTGCTTCTGTCCCCAGCAGCCTCAGTTTGCCTTTCTGTGGAATGGGTTGCAGCTTTGGAGCTCTAGGCCAGGAAGAGTGGAGGCTGATGCTGGAGCCTGGGACATGGGCTGAGAGGCTGCTAACGGGCACCAGAGAACTAGGTTTTGGTGAACAGGGAAGCCGTGGACTTCCAGGGCAGTGGGGAGGATTCGAGTTGCATGTTTAGCGGTAACTGCTCCCTGAGTCCTGGGAATGCTTCTCCGAAACCCTACCTGTGGCCTGTAAGAAAGAGGGGACTCTTGCTCTGTGGCAGGGCTCCTGGGGCAGAGAAAAGGGGCGGACAGAGGGTCACTGTGGGGTGTTACTGACGTGTTTCCCTGACTGTGTCCGTTACCAGACCTGACTGAGACAGGGATGGGTGTCTTTTCATTTGGGGTCTCCTTGGGTCTTCCTGGTCCACAGGGGCTATTGAATGACTTGCCATTTTCTGCCCCCCATTCCGCTCACTCTCCTGTCTCCAAAAGGACACAGTGGTGGAAGCTGCTGGATTTTCTTGAACCTTTCTTGGCGCCTTCCTCCAGAGAGGGGAGGGAAGTGAGGCTAGGTCACCTCCCAGCACCTCCATGGGACTGGGATTTTAGTTCCAGTTTACAGATGAGTTCCATAGTTACCCGGAAGGCATTCAGTCCCCTCGTTTTCATTATTCTTTTCCTGGACCCTCCGGTAAGAGAACAGATGACCACTCCCTAGCCTCTAACGTGTCTAGCTGTGAGCAGGAGGTGTCTGGAGGTGAGGTGGGGAAGAGCTATAGATAGAAATGGGCACTGTGCCCTTGTATGGGGCTCCGCTTCCTTCCAGTGGTAGCTGGTGGCAGGGGTGCCTTGGAGAACCCCTGGATTGGCTGCAGGCCCTGTACCCTAGCCTGGTTGGTATACTCTGCCCCCTTCCCAAGGGGCTTGGCTCCAGGGTGGGTACCTGGCTGTGAGCTAGGGTGCACGTGTCTGCGTCTCTCCCTTTGTCTCCCCCAAGTCAATCAGGGGGGCACCTTTGGAGGTCCCCAGGCCCAGGACAGTGCAGATTCCTGCCTATGTGTGTGTGAAAGTGGGTCATGGTCTGGATTCCAGAGAATGTTTTTCCTGGCAGGCCCCTGCGGGGGTGGGGGGAGGCGGGGGCCCAGGCAGGGGCATGTGCGGCTAAGCAGGCAGAGGCCAGCAGACTGGTTGGTGACAGAGCTGGGGCACTCTGCCAGCACCTCCCAGGCATTGCAGGAGGCTGGTGGGGGGCAGGGATCACTCTGTTCTAGGTTTCCCGTGGGCTGTGGCATCAGCCCAGGTTGGGTTGGGAGCCCAGCTTCACCAGCCTCCTCTTTGCTTCCAGACTTCCCCTGGCCTTCTTCCCAAAGAGCGGTTCTCCTGCTCCTTTGGT